GCTCTGCGACAGCCCCTCCAACACCCTGGCACAATGCCTCTCCCAGAAACAAGCTCCATTAAAAGCTTGGGAGGTTTCTGCCTCTGTGACCGCTGTTGGAAAGCCACCGCTGACCCACAGGGGTCCCGTGGCCAGGAGCCTTTGGCTATTTGCAGCCTCCCCCTGGTCACGGTTATCTTCTCCTTCCTTCTGTCCAGCTCCTTTACCCAGCTGGAAGATCAGCAGTTTTCAAAGAAAGCGATCCAGTCTGTCTAGCAGGACTGACTTTTGGTAAATCCATTTGGCCTTTTGCATCGCTTTCCATTTACTTTCTCATCTTCCCATCATATCCCCCGAGGCGGGTTGGGAAGCCATGCAGGTGCCGGATCACTGCAAGCCCTCAGTGAGGCAGACATCCTCCTCACTCCTTAAATGCCAGAGCTGTACTTGCTCCTCGGCAGCTGTAGCAATGCAGCACTCTCAACGAGCGGATTTTTTAAAAATTATTATTATTATTTTAAATTCTGCCACAGAGGTTTTCCCCTTTTCCTGAATTCAGCACAATTAGCGAACTGAGCTTTCCTCATCTGGCCGCCCTGCAGAGAGGACCCACGGTGGGTTTCTGTGTGGGGTCGACCACACCTGGAGCAATTTCCCATGCCATGGATCCCAGCCCTCCCAGTTTCTCCCCAGTGCCACGGTGGCTGAATCCACATCTCACTGGGAACTAGAGAAGACGGCAGCAGGAGCCTGGCCAGCTCGGCCACTGAGCCACAGGGTCCCACTCAGGGAGATGCTCAGCTCGAGCCAGGAACATCCCCTCGACTCCACAGCGGATCCGTCCTCCAGGAACACAATGACACCAGGCTCTTGGAAATGCTGAAATTCAAGGCCGAGACCAACACCCACCTCTGCTGCACAACCCAACCAGGAGAGCAGGTGTCTGGGAGACCTTCCCCAGAGCTGACACTGTGATATCCTAGTGTGGGGTGGCCACCAAAAGCCCCTGGATTTCTATTTTCTTTCCTTTTCATTTTTTTTCCTTCTATATTTTTTTTTAAATTATTTCAAATACCTCAGAGCTTAGATGCAAACCAAGAACAGCCCCTCCAAATCCTGCACCTCCCAGTGCTCCTTACAACAAGATCATTTTACAAGGCTTATTTTAATAGAACATGCAGGTCTGTGTGTGCAATTATTTTTTTTTACCTTTTTTTTTTAATTATTATTATAAGCAACTGACCCTTCCCAAAAGTTTTCCGGGACAAGTCCCTGGTTGCCCTCCTGGGGCAGGAATAGAGCCCACTATTCCCCTTACACAAGGAGCTGGGGGGAAAAACCCAAAAAGCCTAAAAATGCAAATTTAGGGATGCTTCTGTATCCCCTGCAGCAGGCGGGTGGAGGGCAGGGGTGCAGGGGTTGCTGGGGAGGGGTGCAGGTGGTGGTGCCAGGGTGGGTGTAGGCAGGGGATCTCCGGGTGCTGGGGGGGGTGCCGGGTGGTGCTGGGCTCCCACCGTTGCCCGGTCATGGTGTTTGTGACCCAACTGGGCAAGGCAGAAGCAAACAGGACGGCTCTGGGGGCAGCTGCAGCACAGGGACCCTCCATACCCGGACACAGGTAGGGGCTGAGCACAGCCAGACCTTCACCCCAGGGCCCCCACCCTGCCCTATGGACTCTGCACCCTTCACGGACCCTGCACCCTGCACCCTTCACGGACCCTGCACCCTGCATCCTTCACGGACCCCTGTCTCTTATACAC